GGGGGGGGGGGGGTGTCAGGTTGCCTCTGTACCCTCTGCCTCCCCACAGCTTCTTCCCCCTGCAGTACATTTCCTTCCTCCTTACTGTCAGACTCTACTCTCCCTGAGCACATGGAAGTGAGGAGCAAATCTGGAAACAAAGACCTTGAAATAAACATGGCTGTAGTAATTTGCATATAGTACCCATACACTTAGTTTACCTAGAATTGATGCATTTTACCTTTTTTGAAACTGTTGCAAATTTTCAGGATAAACACACTTTTAAGCAGCACTTTAGCACTTACTTATATGTAGTAAAAACTATGTATGCTATTAGTCCAAAGACAAAAGGCTCATGACTTACCATATAATTCATTGGGCTGGGCCCCAGTAGAGTTAACAGCATTTCAGACCATGGCGACCCCACAGCTCAGCTCATCTCCATATGCATGTGTACTCCAAATACCACCCCTCACCCTCCCTCCCTGCCAAAAAAGGATCCATGTGCTAATTAGGCCCCCACTCATGAGTGGAACCACCTGCTTTTGTAAGGGACACACGTGCACACTTGTGCATGCACACATCTGGTATTTCAGTACCTGCAGGCCACACCCATTCCCTCCTGGGGGAACAACTGCCTGTTTACGTATGCGCACATGCACATACATGTATGCACACACACTCCCATCAATATGTTTGCCCAATATGTGCCATGTATTTTATAATCATGCTCGGTGTTGGCTGTATTTAATCATCTTCACACTTGGTTTCTATTACTGAGCATATGCTGCTTTTGGTAGCAGTTTAATGATAGACAGTATATTTAGTGAGGTGTTGCTGTGTGTGAATACAAGACAAGGGGCTTTTTTCCCCATGCAAACTGAGGGGAGAAACCTTGTCTTGTATTCAAGTAAATATGTACAACCCCTGCTTAGCACTCGTAATTGGTTCTGGAAAAACCGAGCGTTAAGCAGACCGCACTAAGCAAAACCCAATTTCCCACCCACTTGCTGCTACTCACAGCTTCTTGCTGCCACTGCCACTTCTCCCAACTCCCCCACCTGCTTGATGACTGGCTGCTCTGGCACCATGTGCCAGCCCAGGCCCTGCGCTCCTGCTGCCCTGCCTTGGCCCTGGGGCACGCCTGCCCACCCACTCACTGCTGCTCACTGCTTCTCATTGCTGCTGCTGCCGCTGCTTCTCTCCACCCCTGTGCCGGCCCACCGAAACTAGCTGATTCCACTGAGTGCTATAATGAAACTGGCTGAGCACTCAGTGGAATCGGGTATGAATTTTAAATGAGCACTATAACGAAATAGTGCTAAGCAATACCGCGTTAAGCGGGGGTTGCCTGTATTGGAACAAGCTATGCAGAGAAGTTGTGGAATCTCCATCCCTAGAAACTTTACAAATCAGGTTGGACAGACACTTGGCTGGGGTAGATTAGTCAGGGGTTATCCTGCCTTGAGCAGGAGACTGGATTAGATGACCTGGATGAGATTCCTTCCAGCCCTAATTTCTTATGATCCTTTTTGAGAACTTTGAAACTCTGGATGTGCTGGAAAGTCTCATTGGTCTGTGAGGACCTGAAATACCTTCTTCCATCTTCTCACCAGGTTTGTGTGTTTTACATGTGCATGGACACAATACCCACTCCAGTGTTTGGTATCTGCTCCCATCCCAACTCACCAGACATGCCTGAGTTCACTTGGGCAGTGAAAGCAATGTAGTAATATTAATGTAGCTCTATCTAGAGCTAATTAGCATTATATTCTGCTTGGGGCAATGTAGCTTTATTGCTTCCAATACCCAAGTTACCTCATCACCACCCTAGGTTTGCAACTTGTCCTAGACTTATCGACCACAGTCAAAGTTGAGGCTTGTGGTATTCACTCAAGCATTGGATTAAGCCTGTAAACAAATGTAGAGACTTTTTAATGACATATTTGGTGTACAGAATGACTAGGAGAATATACAACAGGAACCATGCACATTATTTTGCTGTAGTAGAAATGCAGAGTCATATTGATTTTTTTAGAGGTTTTTTAATCACAAATTAAAACCATGTTTACCTTTTTATTGCCTTCTGTTGTTAAATTTGTAGAGCATAACAAATTAAATATGACAACTTTATAGCCTTTTTATCGGGGGGAAAAATATTACTGTTCAACTCTCTGGACTCTTTTCATGTACTTTTTATTTCAGTCATTCATATGGTACCCAGCATCACAATCTTACTGGTTTTACATGATAAAAACATTTACATACACAGGCCTGTCTGCCCTGTTTTCCAGCTCAACATCTCAGATTTTGTCTTCCTCAAGTGTGCATTCTAATAAGCTGCAGAATGAAATTGATAACCCTGGATGCATCTTACACCACTTTCTGCATATGTCCAGCCTTGGCTTTCCAAGCATTTCCAATAGTGATGAAAGCTCTCCACCTGCTATATGATTTGGAATATGCTGCCAGTGAATAAATTAAGCCTCTGCTCTGAAGCTTGAGACTAGGTTGTCCTTATCTTAGTCTATATAAATAGAGTTGCTATGAATACTAAAAATATAATAAAGGTATTTGACCCTGCTTAACTTTGTATGAAGTGTTTGTAAATGGAAAGTAATTATTCTGCTAAACCTTTTTTTTTTCTTTTCTTTAGGCACACGGAAAGTGAACCTTACATCCTGGCATCATAACAAAGGCCAGGCAAACTTATCGAATATGACATTCATTGATGGAAGGCTAATAGTCAATCAAGATGGGTTTTATTACGTTTATGCCAACATTTGTTTCAGACATCATGAAACTTCAGGAAACCTAACTAGGAAAGGGCTTCAACTGATGGTGTACATAACTAAAGCAAACTTTAAGACAAAGCGTGCTGATGTTCTTATGAAGGGAGGAAGCACCAAATACTGGTCAGGAAATTCAGAATTTCATTTTTATTCTGTAAATGTAGGAGGATTTTTTAAATTTAAGTTTGGTGAAGTAATAGGTATCCAGGTATCAAACCCATCATTACTGGATTCATCTCAAGAAGCAACTTATTTTGGTGCCTTCAAAGTCACAGAGATAGATTGAGTTGTTGCAAGATTTCATGTCTCAGTGTATGTTTTCTATGGCTTTTTACTAAAAAAAAAAAAAAAAAAA